GGATTAAGGTCTGGAGACTGGCTAGGCCACTCCAGGACCTTAATGTGCTTCTTCTTGAACCACTCCTTTGTTGCCTTGGCCGTGTGTTTTTGGGTCATTGTCATGCTGGAATACCCATCCACGACCCATTTTCAATGCCCTGGCTGAGGGAAGGAGGTTCTCACCCAAAATTTGACGGTACATGGCCCCGTCCATTGTCCCTTTGATGCGGTGAAGTTGTCCTGTCCCCTGGGCAGAAAAACACTTCCAAAGCAATAATGTTTACACCTCCATGTTTGACGGTGGGGATGGTGTTCTTGGGGTCATAGGCAGCATTCCTGCTCCTCCAAACACGGCGAGTTGAGTTGATGCAAAAGAGCTCCATTTTGGTCTCATCTGACCACAACACTTTCACCCAGTTGTCCTCTGAATCATTCAGATGTTCATTGGCAAACTTCAGTCCTTCACAGCGTAGTGTGTTACCAATTGTTTTCTTGGTGACTATGGTTCCAGCTGCCTTGAGATCATTGATAAGATCCTCCCGTGTAGTTCTGGGCTGATTCCTCACCGTTCTCATTATCATTGCAACTCCACGAGGTGAGATCTTGCATGGAGCCCCAGGCCGAGGGAGACTGACAGTTCTTTTGTGTTTCTTCCATTTGCGAATAATCGCACCAACTGTTGGCAGCTTCTCACCAAGCTGCTTGACAATGGTCTTGTAGCCCATTCCAGCCTTGTGTAGGTCTACAATCTTGTCCCTGACATCCTTGGAGAGCTCTTTGGTCTCGGCCATGGTGGAGAGTTTGGAATCTGATTGATTGATTGCTTCTGTGGACAGGTGTCTTTTATACAGGTAACAAGCTGAGATTAGGAGCACTCCCTTTAAGAGTGTTCTCCTAATCTCAGCTCGTTACCTGTATAAAAGACACCTGGGAGCCAGAAATCTTTCTGATTGAGAGGGGGTCAAATACTTATTTCCCTCATTAAAATGCGAATCAATTTATAACATTTTGAAATGCGTTTTTCTGGATTTTTGCTGCTGTTATTTTGTCTCTCACTGTTCAAATAAACCTTCTATTAAAATTATAGACTGATAATTTCTTTGTCAGTGGGCAAACGTACAAAATCAGCAGGGGATCAAATACTTTTTTCCCTCACTGTATCTATCAATGCGTAAGCCAATGGCTGTAGTAAAACTTAAACATTTCTCTCAAAAGATAAAAATGTACTTTGAAAGCCATGTCAATAAGAGCACCAAACAAAATATCAACTATTTCAGAAACACCGTATGTTAAACTGGGAAACTAAATTGTGTTTATAATGAATAAAAGGACATTGTTTTTGTTGCTACCAAACAACAAACACCAGGAATAAAAAAAATAGTCCATGATCTCATTAACCAAAATGTTATTAATATTATTTAATTTATTTTACGCAGTTAACCGAACCCTGTTTGTCTACTTCTAATTGCATTTCTCACAAACCATCGTGATGGCACGAAATACCTTCTGTACAATTAATAATAATAATACTTTTATTTTATATAGCGTAATTCATACACATAGCATCCCATAATGCTGAATATTAATTACGTATAAGGACCAAATCTCAAATAAAGCCACTTCCAAGCAAATCGAAACTCTACTAACCAAGTAAAATGAAAAATGAATAAACTAATTAAGAAATGGAACCAAAACAAAAAGCACAAACAAAAAACAGAGAAATTAGTCCGCGAGATCACATCCCAGTTGTTGCTGACGCCCGCTGCACAATGAGACGCAACGGGAAGCTGTGTACGTATGCACGTTGAACTTTTTAAACACCGTACCGTAGCCAACCGTGCTATAATCGGAGGCGCGGGGTGTACGACAGCACGCACCTTCCGTCCCATCAGGAGTGACGGAGTTCGTGGTAACGGTCGAGCTGCCAATCTTCGCTCCGCCCGGAGAGTCGCTGCTTCCACTCAAATGACTTGGCGGGCTGGCTATCTCCTGCATTTCCATAGACCTGCGGAGAGACGCGAGTGTGCGCCAACGGAGGAGCGACGTGATCGCTAAATGCAGCGAAGGGATCGTGGGGGAGCTTGCGACACGGGGAACGAGGGGGCGCCCCAGGAGCCCGACCCACACTTTGGAATTTGGGGGGTGCCCTACGAGACGATGGTTCCCGGCGGTCATTTAGTTAGATTGCGGATGCAAAGTCGCACGGCAGTTGCTAACGCTATCGTTAATTACTATTGCCGTGCTTTGTGCTGCACCGACAACCCATAGTTAATGAAAGAAAGTCATGCGAATGACCCATCGACGTAGACATCCCCTGATCAATAAAAGTTTAAATTTGAACAAGGCTTTCAAATGTTGTGAGCGTCTCGCAATCATGAGGGAAAATGTTGGGAGGGCGGGAAGGGGATCCGCATACCCACAGTGGCTGCAGCGCTGGATAATTGCACCCGCATAAAAGAGACATCAAGCCAGAATAAGAAATCCTCCATCAGACTGCAGCACGGTAACAGGTTCACGTCCACGTTATGAAGAGACTAGAAAATCACAAGTTACCATGCAGGCGCTCCCATCTCATCGCTACACATTGCATCTTCCTGCTCGAAACATTAATAACGTTAGTCAAGAGTGAGCAGGGATGCACGCAAGCGTATTCGCGTGCGTTGCCACAGAGCCGCGCAAACCGAGGCGCGCGAGGGAAATTTTGAACAAGCTCACAACGCGAGCGGGGGCTGAGGACGAGCGGGAGCTTAACCGAGCGCTGCTGTGGGCGCTGGATTTGACGCGTAAATCGATGCCGCTTGACCGCCGAGCCAAATAAATATTTCTCAGCTGGCGGCAGCGAAGAGCACGCAGAGGCGGCCGTGCGTGGCAAAGCGGGGCAAAAACCCGACAACATGAAAGCAACGGCAAGTCCAAGAAAAGCAAAGCGGAGATGGTCACAATATGTGCCAGCACAGAGATGTGCCGCTATTCGTACGTACTCCTCCCCAAACCCCCACAATCCCCCCCCCCCGCAAAATGTTGTGCAAGCAGCGGCGAGGGAGCTTCTCAGGCCACGTGCTTTTTGCAAAGACGATCTGCGGCTAATTTTAACAATGAGCAAGCAGAGCATCATGGGAAGGAAAGAAACCAATGGATGAAGAAAATGAAGAAATGTGCTTTCACCACGCAACACAATGTAGGGCTATCTTAATGAACGTGGAGGCACAAGCGCACACCTGTATTCCTTTTAAAATAAAGGATTCATAATCTAACTTGACAGTAGATGTACTCTCAATTAAAATAAAATATGGATTATATAATTCCATGGAGGCCTCACTTTGTCAACGAAATGATAATAATGCACTCCATGTCGCCCTGCATTTGGATGTTTGGCCAGTTCCATTAATGATAAGTTTGTCATGTGGGAGGACGCCAGAGTACATGTAGAATCCCAGAAATCTGTCATCAAAATGTTAACCAGAATTGAGCCTGCTTAGCTTCTAAGATCTGATGATCAGGGTGCATCCAAAGACATTTAGTTGCACTGTTTTTTGTGCAATATATATGGCTAAATTTGGACACAAAAAAACTATTGGAGTCTTATGAATATTACTTGTTGTTATATTCTCGTAACTTATTGTTTTTTTTTTATCTACCCCTTACAGCAGTGTGGGGTATATTTGTGCAAAGCTATTTTAATGTATCCGCTGTAATGCTGTTCTGTGTCAAAAGACAAAAAAAAAAGTCGGCTTTCCTTTTCCGATTTATAAAAAAAAACCCTGTAACATGACGTGTGTGACCTGCAAGGCTGGACGGTGTGTTTATTGTTGTAGTGTACCGTCCATCGGATACGTAAATAAAGTACAAAAAAAGAGAAACCCCTGTGGATAAGTTCCAGGAATATTAAAAAAAATATTCTGAAAAAAATTAGCAATGGCCCTTACGACGTGACTTTGAGGCCCACACAGAGAAGGCCGCTCGCTGAACCACCCCGAAAACTTCATTCGGCTACTGAATGCTGCAACGTTCAAAGTTCATCATTTGCGAGGCACGGCAAGCCCCTCTTTGCTTATGCGCCACAATGCAAAACACGGCGTGGTAACATTTTCCCCCGCGTAGCGCCATTGCCTACGTATGATTTTATTCCCGCCTAGAGGGTAAGAGAGCATTAAACACATGGTATCGCTCGGCTTTCAACCACACTTGTGACAGCAAACACATTTTTTATTTCTTTTATTTTTTTTTTCCCCTTCCACAACCAACAAGGTCCACGTATACATTCGTCAAATTGTGACCCAGCGTAAGGGGCGTGGAAGGCGGCACGGTGAACAAGCCATTGCAAAACGTAGCCTTTTTCTGTGGGTTTTTTTAAGTTCCAATAAGGGCGGACCATAATGGCATGCGATCAAATGACAGCGCAACAATTGCATCTTCACATACTGCCAGACTAATTATATAGTACCCAGGAACAAAAATCGTGTTACATAGTGTTACAAACACATTTATTTACAGCCCCTTTTTAATCAATCGACTGCTGGAGGAAGGCCTCCCCCCACACCATGTTTGCCTTTGGTATTGTTTTTTTTTTACCATACTTTACCATGCCAGTTAGTGTATGTTGAACTTCTTTCACAACGTACGTAGCCAAACGTGCAAATCAGAGGTGTGAACTCGGGTTTGCTCGATTCATACATAGCGAGTGCACAAACGACTGTACCACCAATGCACCAGACCAACGCATTCATACATCTATACGTATGGTTTGTTGCTGTACATTTACTGTGACACGATACACTATACGAGTCAACTAAAATGAATGGCAGACCTATATATATTTTAAATTCAGGATTTATATTTAGAAAAGAACTAACGTTGCAGGCAATTTCCCTTTGTAAATGTTAAAGTAACTAACTTGTGGTTCACGTCCCGTGTAAATATGAAACACAAACACTAGTTCTGTTGGGTTCATGAGGTCAGGGGAGAACACACGCACGGATGACCCCGCGGCCCACACCCCCCCCCCACATTGTTCCTTACCTCTCCTTTTGAGGCTCTGAGGCATCTGACTCGGAGTCAAGTCGAGCCTTCTTCGCCTGCAACACAAAAAGGGTACGGGCGCACGTTGAAGAGCAGACCGCGTCAGCTTTCTTTAATGCGCACGCCCGCGTGGCTTCCAACACACCACCACTGCGGAGATTTTCACGGATGTGCCGCAGTACAGCGCTCCGGTGTTTTCAGGTTGCGATGTCTCACGTGAATTCAGTTCCCCGGGGAAGCTGCCAGCCAAGAGAGTAATGCCGAAACGGGATTGCGCTTACGGCTCGAAGAAAAAAAACACGCACATCGGAGAGGGTCGACGCCGCTCAAAAGGCACAGCCTCTGCTGCCACCCAAAGTCAGGGCTGCGAGCAGGACTGCAAACGTCGGAGGTTCACACTGCGGGTTAAAAATAAATGTACGAACTCAAAGTCGAAAGTGTGGCTGCGGGAAGGAAAGAATGGGAAAAAAAACGCACTCGTGAAAATAAGTGGGGCCAACCGGGCCCTTATCTATTGAGTGAGACGTCACCAGCCGAGAGAAGAAACGCATCCGAGATGACGTCCATCACGGAGATTGAGCAGATGAAATCAGCTCATGTGCAGGTGGATAGGTGGATTGTTTTATCGCAGGTCCATGAGAGATGGTGACCACTTGGAGAGGCCCTCGTCCAGCACTGGCATTATCAAGGCTGTTGATGATGAGATGTTATCAACTCGACCATGGGTGGGGGGGGGGGGTTCCCTATTCAAAATCAGTGTGAAATTTGCGGACGTTTTGCCATGGGCTTAAATTATGCCCGTGCCTTCCGAAGTCGATTGCCAAGATGAGGAAATTTCAGGCCTATGATGACTATGATCTCCTTGCTGCAGTTGGGAGGTATCACTTGTTTAGCAAAGAGGCTGCTGTCCCGAAAGTTATCGTCACGAGAATAATAACTGCGCCCTGCTGGATTATTTTACTCGCACAATGCTATGGGGGTGGGGGGTGGGTGGCGGATACAGATGACCCAGCAGACACCGCAAATCAGCGGTTACAAAAACGCTTCCCTCTCCCCGTCCGTCACGGCCGCAAAGCTCTCGCACGCTTTAACGCAGACTCGTCTTCTTGTTTCCACCGCTAACGGGGGGGGGGGGGGGGGGGGAATTCGATTAAATGCAGACCGATTTGAGGCACGACGGCCTTCAGCTTATAAACAAATGTGGATTACTCACTTACAGGCCACCATTCACAATAAGAAAGCGCGTGTCAACTAGGTAATGTTAAATGATCAGTGGCTGTTCTTCTCATGTCCTGCCACCACAGTCGTATGCTTACTCAGCAATGGGGCGCATGATACATATGCAGGAGGGTTGACGTGGTGGCTCCCATCAAGATTGTTCGAATCTGTGAACGCTGCCGAACATCGACCACCACACGAATGATGGATCAGCGGCCAAATGCTGCCACGACGTCAGGGAGTGCGCGTAGCGTGCGACGCGTGGCACTTCCAAGAGCGTGCGATTCGTGCGATGGTTTTAATATCGGGAAGAAAAAAAAATCGCTCAGCTGTGCCCACATTTGTCCCCTGCGTGCCAGTGACGAGGTGGCCATGGGATCCACCACCATAAGATTGACCGCACGTGTCGCGAGGACCGGCCAGTGACGGCTCGCTATGCTGTCCGCCGAGCCTTGACCGGCTTGCACCTCTGCAGTCGCAAGCCAAATCGCGTAATTAACTCTAATGGCCACGCCTATCTTCGAAGGAAAAAAAAAGACCTCCCGGTCTTGCTTGTCGAGGGGGCAGGCGAGCGCGGTTGAGCCCCGTGTCACTAAGCAACGAAAAAAAACACTCGGGAGTCTGCAGTAGAACGTGACTTGAAGTGACCGCGACGGAGCTTAATATATTTAAGGATCTGCATTCGTCTGTTTGTTTGTGGCATCCTTCTGCCAGGATACTCAAAACCTCTTCTTTTTTTACGTAATATACAGCCATCGAACGACCGTTAACAACGGCCAACGCACCACAGTGGCGGCAGCATACACGAACCGTGCAAGCACAGATGCGCACGAGGCCTTTGCCGATGTGGTGCTTGGGGGGATAATCTCAATTCCTAAATTGACCGAACGATATTGAGCTGCATTCCCAGCTCCAATCAAGACGCGCGCAGTGTTCAGTGGGAAACCTTGCTGACCGCCAGCTGATTGCTGCGATTAATACCAAACTTCGAAATGCTCCAAAAGCGCCGTTGTATTGACCCGCGGACACATTCGGCACGCGCACGCACGCGCACGCAGACGGTGACAATACACCCGAGCCGATCTGGCCGACTGCTACAAACAAAATCACTTTGCGATCTTTTTTTTTTCTTCTGTAATGTTCACATGATGTAGATCTGCTAGGACATCATTACACACTTGGACCATTACCTCAAACCACATCAGAAACGGTGTGGAGGCATTGGCATGGCGCACGGCAGCATTAATTGCCCCGTTTTATAGAAGGAGCGCGAGGATTTTTACAACTGCCGCGCTAATTAAAACTACTTCTGAGCAACGCACGTCCCGCACACGTGCGTGCCCACGGAATTGTAAATCAAAGGGAGCCTGGGTTTGGACGGCGAACAAAACATGCAGGCGGGGGGGGGAGGGGGGCACAGCAGTCATCGCACGGCACATAAACAATAACGGAGCATCTGGTGATGCGACCGTGGCACGCTGGAACGCAAACTCCACCTACGCCAAGATTCCCCACTGTCGCCCGCTGCCGGGTTGGGAGGGGGGGGGGGGCCCTCCAAATGTGGAGCTGACGTGGGCGAGGGCCGCCGGGGAACAACAGATACCCGAGCGCAACCCGCCGCTTGCACAAAAGAAAAAAAGTGTGCCAGCCAACATCGAGCCACAGAGGGGCTTTGCCGTGCAAATTTAGACGTGGATTTCGAACAGCTTACTCGAGCACATGCGACTGAAAAAAATGATTTCATCCATTTGGAAATTAAATGTAAAATGCAATTGTCGAATGTTGGTTTCGCTATGGTGTTTTTATTGTTTCGTTTAGACAGACGCTGCTTTGTGACCCAGGTCTATGTGACCTATGTCCCCCCCCACCCCCCCCCGCCTGAAAAGGATCCGATTCGTCTAGATGGGCTCTCACCTGGTTTAAATAAAGTTGATGGAAAAGACTTGCTCACATGCAAACGCATTCCCAGCTATGCCCAACTATGGTGAAACATTTGACGATGGCCAATTCATTTTTTTTTTCTCATCTGAGCAGCAGAGTTTCATAACAAAGACAAAATAATAATCATCTCTGTGTGGCTCATAAACAACACAGCATAAATCTCAGTCACGATGAGATTTGCACATCTCTCTCACACAGGCACAATCAATACCGGCTGCCCATAACTCAGGGAATGTCATAGAAGGGCACAGCTTCCTTCCACATGTGACCCATCCAACCCAGCCTCTGCGATAACCAGTGGCCAGTTGCATGGGACACCTCAGGTGATAATCACCCTTGCTTTACATTGGCTTATATACTGAAGAGCAATTTTAATTCGGGTTATTTTTTTTTACATGAACCGGCAATAGGTTCACACAGGCATTCGTGCTGCCAAATGTCATCATCGTCATCAACTACCATGTTCTATGCATTGCTGGATGAAGACCTCCACATGCAGTCGCCATTCCTCGTGGTCCTGTGATGTCAAAGTATTTTAATGTATGTAGAACTTATCTTGCACAGCCAACTGTGCTAACCGGCACATGAGCTGATCTCACAATGGTATCAGATGGGACATGTTCCTCATTATGTCACCCATTCTGTCATTGGTCTCATCCACCTAACCCTTCTGGAAATGGGTCCTTCCCAAGCTCAATGACTTGTGTTACAAGTGAAAATGACGACTTTTGAATTGTCCTGCGATCCATGTCTTCCTCAATTTGTCTCTCCGCAGAATTCCCAGCACGCATCTCCCCATGCTTCGTTGTGCACGTTTTAGCTTGTTCCATTTTGTTTTGTCACTGCTCATGTTTCGATCCATATGGGTCACGTGGCATTGCTACATATTCTCCGGCACGTAAAAGCTCGTCCACAAGATGCCATTGCTGCTTGTGCCCGCATTTTCCTTACAGATCTACTCAACGATAAATGCAAAAAGTGCAATCAAGCAGTGGATGTATGTATGTATATTGGACTTCTTGGAGGTGAGGAGATGACCGTTGATGACGATTAGAAGATGGCTGTTGATGACGAAAGCACGCAATAGTGCGCGTTCCGTTTGTGCACTGGGGAAACTGAGCCCTCCCGAGCGGCGTGGCCAAGCTTTTGCCGCTGGTTTTGACGACTTCAGATTAGGCGGGTGGCACATTCGCCCACGGAGAGTTGGGTTTCGGGATACCCAGGGGTTGTGTCGAGTTTATCTCGATGAGAGCACCAGCGTGTATAGATATATTTAGGGCTATGCGCAAGACACGCGCCGATTGTTGTTGTTTCGGCGAACCGCGCATGATCTTCGATCATGGATTTTTACCAGACTATTTTTGTGATTATGTTATGAGCACACTTTTTTTTTTACTGCAAACAGTTTATTTTCCTTGACGCCAATGTGTATATTTTCAGTTTAACACGGAGGCTTTCACGACCAATAGTCATTTTACGATCCGCTGCTGGATGAACGTATGGGAGCTGTTTAACCATGCTTCCTCATGATCAGTACGGGTTGCCAAAAGGTGGTGGAGTCCCGGGCCTGTTTAGATATACAACTTGCCAATGGTTGAGAATGAAACTCAGGTCATTGCGTCCAGTCCAGCATTGTGCCACTACTATCAGTTTTTTTATGCAATTATTATAAAATGAAAAGGGTTATTTAAAATTCCCCCGATTAAACCACACAGCCGAAGTAAATTTATCAATTTTAAATCACTAAATGTAAAACAATAACAAATACAACATGATACCAGTGTGCAATCATACAATTGCGATGTTTCAGTTCATCCTTATCTGGTCCCATGGTGTAAAGTACATCCTCCCTCTCTCTCTGTATCTGCTATGAAGAGGCGCTATTGCCAGAAACATC